CCCGGAGCCAGCCCCCCCAGGCAGCGGGACTCCCGCCGCCTGGGCGGCTTTGCTCGGGTGTCCCTGGTCTGCTGGACCCCCCCAGCAGACCAGGGAGACCGGGAGAAGCTTTTCTCGTCCTGGAGGACACGGGCAGCGACTCACCCCGTTCGTAAGTGCGGATCCGACATAAGTCGGATCCACGTAAGTCGGGGACTGCCTGTAATGTCGATTTAAAATCTCATTCTCCTTTTGTCTTGCTGGCTGGCTCATTAGGTTCTGAATGTTTTGCCAAGACCTTATACTTATAAGGAGACAGTTTCTTCTGTCATTCAGCAGCAGTCTCATCAGAGAAAAGTGATGTTGAGTTCCAGAGAGAGAGTCTGGCAGAAAAACAGTGGTTACTACTCAGAATAATATCATATCTGATGTGTTAACGCGAATGAACTCAGAAAATGGGAGGATATTTTGAAAGTGATGAACTTTGTAAATTAAGTTATGATGCATTAATTAGAAAATTCATTAAATAAGCACCTAAAAAGCTAATATGCACAAATGCATAAACTTTTACTTAGTTTCTAAAAAAGAAAACCAGTCCTCCATACAATTCAAATTGTTGAAAAATCTTCCACAACAGAACCAAGATTTTCAGTTTGTGTGTGGTGAAGAGTTTGCATGTTGGGATGTTCCTTGCCTCAGAAACTTGAGGGAATTGAGATGCGCACGAAAAAAATTGCACCCAAAACTTGCTAACGTTGCAGTTAGTGTAAAAAACTGGAATTTTAAAGTAACATTACATATTAATAATGGATCATATAAGAGATGTAAAGAGCAACTACTGCATCTCAATAAATGTCTGACTTTGGTAGACTAAGGGTGAACATGAGCAATGCACCTTAGGTTACAATTTGAAATCCTAGAAAGTTTATTTCCACCGATCCGCCCCTGTACCTCCCAAAATGATTTGTTTTACTTGTTTTTAACTGAAAAATGTGGTGTTTTTCCATTTTTCTTTCAGGATGTAGTTCAGCAGAATAATACTCTTATAGAAGAAATGCTATATCTAATTATTATGATTGTTGGTAAGTTCAGATATATTTAATCAATTGATTTCCAGTTGAATCATTTTGACATTGCAAGATGGACCATCAAAGTTTGGTTCTGTGTTCTCATTTTTTGCACCTCATTATCCATTTATAGGAGGAAGGAAAAGCCCTTCTTTGAGTACTTGTGTTTGTCCATTCCATGTTCGATGTTTATTCTTGCTCACCACATGTTCCAACACTGGAAATTTTTCCCTCCGTGATATCCGTAAATGATTCGGCTCTAGGTTCTTCTGGAGTGGTGAGTGTATGCCGTACTATAAGGGATGCTGACAGCTAACCTGACCCTCAGTTCATTCTCCCTGCCGGTGATAGTGCTGGAAGTTCTTCTTGCTTTGGCAAGTCTTCTCTTTTCAAACTCTTGTGAACTTTTCTCCTTGTAAATAATTGAAAATTATTAGTAGTGTCCCATACTATAATAGTCTGAACATGGGGCATCTCCGGTCTCCAGGCTTCAAACCTTGTGGCAGCTGTAATAAGTCTGTGCCAACCAGCAACCCTCCATTTGTTTTAACTCCCCATTGCTCTTGTTACCAAGTGCAACATTTGCACAAAAACGGCATTTCAATATTTCTGTACCTAGACGATTGTCTAATAACAAGCTGCACACCGCAGGACACACAGCATGCTATCTGAGTGGTGAAAGCTCTCTTTGACACTCTCAGCCTACAGATAAACTCTGGAAAGTGCATTTTGACTCCAACACAAATACTGGAGTTCATAGGGGCACATCTGGACTGCCTAAGGGCCAGACCTTGCTTACTTCACAGATAGGTCACTATCAAGGACCTGATAGCAACAGCACAGACCAGTCCAGTAATAACAGTATGACTATGCCTACAAATATTGGGACACATGGCAGCAGCCATATTTGTTGTTCCCCATGCTCGACTACGCATGAGACCAGTACAGGCCTGGCTACACACGGTCTACTAGCCACAAATACACCTATTGAACAAATGCCTCTCCATGCCAAGCAAGATAAAATCCTTCCTAACATGGTGGACAATACACGACCATGTACGCGTGGGAGTGCCTTTCCAGCGCAGTCCACGATCAATCACAATAATGACAGATGCCTCGCTCCTAGGATGGGGGGGGAGGGTGCACCTCACTCACAAGGTTGTCCAGAGTCAATGGGCCCAAGACGAAACGAGGTACCACATAAACTTATCAGAACTAAGAGCAGTAAGAAATGCATGCAGACACTTTCTTCCCCTTAATCCAGAACAGTCCAGATTCTGACAATGTCATCAAGATTTACTACATCAAGAGACAGGGAGAAGCACTCTCCTACCAGTTATGCCAGTAGGCTATGCACCTCTGTGAATGGTTTATCACATGGAACATATACGTGGTCACAACTTACCTTCCAGGTAAAGACAACACACAAGCAGACAACTTCAGCAGACCATTCCCACAGAACCATGAGTGGGAGATAAATCGGTCAGTGCTCATCTGTCTATTCAAGAAATGGAGATTCCCAACAGTTGACCTATTTGCTACCCACAGAAATGCTCGTTGCCCCCTATACTGCTCCAGAGCAGGCATAGGCCCCCATTCCCTAGGGAATACTTTCAGCATACAATAGACTGCTCACCTCGTATACACCTTCCCATCTTTTCCCCTCATACAACTGGTGATACTCAAGATCAAACAAGGCGGAGCCAGAATGATACTAACAACACCCAACTGGCGCCAACAGACATGGTATTCTTACCTGTTACAGATTACTGACCGGCCACCATGCAGTTTCCCACCGGTTCCCCATCCAGCCATCCATAAGCTAAACTTCCAGGTGTGGATGTTAATTGGTTAAGCAACATGGAAAGATCCTTTATGGAAGCCATACAGCTTATCCTCAAAAACTCCAAAAGACCTACAACAAGAAGGACTTGTATCCAAAAATGGAAAAGGTTTATGGCCTGATGTGTATGCCTGTGAACCCATACATTCAGGAATATCACATATTTTACAATACCTATTAGAAATACACAATGCAGGCCTCTCCCTGAGCTCCATAAGGAACTATCTCCGTTCTTCATGCCCCTATACAAGAAAACTCAATCTTCACACACCCTTTGGTCAAATGGTTTCTATGGGGACTCCACAATATGTTCCGTCAGTGCCAGGACTTGAACCTAGTGCAGAAAGCTCTAATCAGTAACCTTTTTAGTCTTTCGCCACTTGCTCACTACTACACTTGTCCATGAAGGTGGCCTTTCTTGTAGCGATCACCTCTGCCAGACGAGTGGGGGAAATAGCAGCCTTAATGGCAGATGCCCCCCTTATGCAATATTCCATAAGGACAAAGTAGCACTAAGGACCCAACCCACATTTCTCCCAAAAGTACTCACCTCATTCCACTGTAATGAACCTATATACTTACTTATCTTCTTCCCAAAACCTCATAAGGAGGTTATCAAAGAAGCGGCTCTCCATACCCTCCATGTCCGCAGAGTGCTTGCCTTCTACCCACAACCAACAAAACCGTTCCGAAAGACTCCCCGAGATTATCAAAATGTATATCTGGGTGCATCAAACTGGCGTATACACTGGCACAGAGAGAGTCCCCCACCGTGTGGTCTCACTCAACAAGGGCCACGGCAACCACAATGGTGTTCCTACAGGGTGTCCCCATAGAACGTATATTCAGGGCCACTGCATGGGCTTCAACACGTACTTTCATGTAACGTTATGCAATCCAGAAATCTGCTGAGGAAGAAACAAGTTGGGCAAACAATGCTGTCCATGACAGAACTTCTGCCTTCTCATACGAATACTGCTTCATTATCACTTAAGGTGGAGCACCCACACAGGCACGCCTCGGAGAAAAAGGGAAGGTTACTCACCTGTGCAGTAGCTGGAGTTCTTCGAGTTGGTTGTTCCTATGCGTGCTCCACCACCCACCCTCCTCCCCTCTGCTTCGGAATACACGAAGTCTGGGTCAGAGAAGGAACTGAAGGGGATAGCTAGCCACGCATGCGCAATAGCTTCCTTAGAACACACGCTGACTTCTCGTGCTCATTGCTGGCAATGGGACACTGCTGGCACAAATCTCCGATCGAGGGCTCAGCGGCGCTGAAGCACCTAAGGTGGAGTATCCACGGGGACAGCCATCTTGAAGAACTCCAGTTACTGCACAGGTGAGTAACCTTCCCTTTCACCCATACAGAATGGAAAGTGATTGTCTAGGAAGGAGTACTGCTGAAAGGGACTTTGGGGTCATAGTGGATGACAAGCTAAACATGAATGTACAGTGTGACACACTGAATCTCAGAGTCATGTTTGTGCCTTTTTGTTGCCAAAAAAAAAAAAACCCACAGGAGTGTTGTGAGCAAGACTCGAAGTCATTCTTCTGCTCTGCACTGCGCTGATTAGGCCTCATTTGGAGTATTGTATCCAGTTCTGGGCACCACATTTCAAGAAAGAGGTGGAGAAACTGGAGAAGGTCCAGAGAAGAGCAACAAAAATGATTAAAGGTCTAGAAAACATGAATTATGAGGGAAGACTGAAAGAATTGGGCTTGTTTAGTTTAGAAAGGAGAAGACTGAGAAGGGAATATAATAGCTGTTTTCAAGTATCTAAAAGGGTTTTCAAGTATCTAAAAGGGTGTTACAAGGAGCAGGGAGAAAAAATTGTTCTCCTTGGCCTCTGATGATAGGACAAGAAGCAATGGGCTTAAATTGCAGCAAGGGAGGTTTAGGTTGGATGTTAGGAAGAACTTCCTAACTGTCAGGATGGTTAAACATAAGAATAAATTGCCTAGAGGGTTGTGGAATCTCCGTCACTGGAGATATTTAAGAGCAGGTTAGACACACCTGTCAGGGATAATCTAGATAGTGCTTGGTCCTGCCATGAGGGCAGATGACTTGACTCGATGACCTCTTTAGGTCCCTTCCAATTATATGATTCTATGGTGCACACCAGTCATTGCCAATTCACAGTGCTCCCATTTGGTCTATCCAACATACCAGGGTTGTTGACCAAGTGTGTATCATTAGTGGCTACCTTCCTTTGCAAGAAAGGATCACTGCTCTACAGCCAAAATGCTTCTGAAATAAATGTAGTCAAACTTTACTAATTTGGGGTCACTGAGAACGAAAATGATGCTTAAAATTGTTGATTGGCTCTAGTTTTCAAGATATGCTATTGAGTCAGTATATATGACCCTTGACTTGCGAATGGCAGAGGATAAGTGAGTTATAAAGGGAAGGGATCTCAATTTAAACCAGAAATGACTAAAATACATCTTTGACTGGATCTATGAATAAATCTGACTGGGTTTGGACAGTACTTGCTTTTTAGGCAAAACAATGAATGATGCAATCTGAAGCTGGTATTGCATCATACATGATATGAATTACATCATGTTATTCCTAGAAGTCATGGATGTTTTGCTGCATAATGGCAATGTTTTGCCATCAGTTCCACTTGGTCATGCAGTCCATATGAAGGAAACCTATGACAACATGAAACAACTTTTGAGATGCATAAACTATGACCAACATCAGTGGCAGTTCTGTTGCGATTTGAAGGTTGTTGCTCTCTTGCTTGGTCTGCAGACTGAAGACACAAAGTACTGCTGTTTTCTCTGTGAATGGGATAGTCGTTCAAGAGATTCCCACTACATCAAGATAGATTGGCCACTCTGACAGTCATTGGAGCCTGGGAGGAAAAGTGTTCAGCATCCACCACTTGTTGAATCAAGGAAGATTTTGTTACCACCCTTACACATCAAGCTGGGTCTGATGAAGAACTTTGTCAAGGCCATGGACAAAACACAAGCAGCTTTCAAGTACCTCCGTGGAAAATTTCTAAGGTTAAGTGAAGCTAAGATAAAAGACATACCCTTTGTTGGTCCTCAGATTCGTGAACTTCTTCGAGATGATGCATTTGACCATGCACTGCGTGGCAAGTAAAAGACGGCATGGAAAGCCTTCCAGTTAAGTGGCAGTAAATTTTCTGGAAACAACAAGGCAGACAACTACAGGTTGTTGGTGGAAAACCTCCTCAAGGCATTCAAAAGCCTTGGTTGCAACATGTCACTAAAGATACATTTTTTGCACTCTCACCTAGATTTTTTTTACACCAAACTGCGGAGCAGTGAGCGACGAGCATGGCGAGCGATTTCACCAGGACATTGCAACAATGGAGAAACGCTATCAGGGCAAATGGAGCCCATCAATACTTGCAGACCATTGCTGGACAGTGACAAGAGATGCTGCATTTAATGAATACAAGAGACAAGCCAAGAAGTGCTGAGTAGACACTGAATAGGACTAAACTATGTACATAATAGTTTTTTGCCTTTTGTTTCATAATAAATTTTATTTATATAACCCTTTTGCTGATTTTTAAAGTGTTACATAAACAGGACAGGTGAAATATCATGTAAAGCAACCATAAAAAGACCTAGGTTTACAATTTATGATTAAAACTCTACTATCTACACAATATACATAAACGTAAAATGTAAAAACTTAAATATCTTGGAAACAGTAGCCAATCAGTTGTTTTAATTGTCATATTTGAATTCAGCGCATCAAAATCCATAATAAATAGCACATTTTATCTCTGAAGCAGACGACTTCTAAAAAAATTGTAGACCAGTGTTACAGTTCTTTCCGTATCTCAATTATTGGCTACTAAAAGGATGCTTGAGACAGCAGCTGCAATCACATGTACACCTGACTCTCAGTCTGTTCCACTTGCTGGGCCTCCTCAGTGAGGAAAAATCCATACTGATTCCCATGCAAAGAATAGAGTTCATTGGAGCAACTCTAGACTCAGTTCAGGCACAAGCCAGCTTATATGGCTCCAGGTTTCAAACAATGACTGACATTTATATTCCCGCTCATCCAGTGCCCCAGTACGATGGTAAGGGCCTGCTTATGACTATTGGGACACCTGGCATTGTGTTGCCATGTGGTCATGTATGCAAACCTCTGCCTCTCGCCTCTCCAAGGGTCACTAGCCTTGGTGTACTGAGCAATGTGTGACAGTTTCGACATGGTAATCTCAATTCTGTGAACAGTAACTTCCACCCTCTTACAGTGGTTGGACCTAGGCAGTGTTTGCAAAGAGGTCGCTTACACTCCCCAGTCTCCCATAATAGCACTCATAACTGACACTTTGGAAGTTGAGTGGGGAGCCTACCTGGGGACCCTAAGAACCCAGGGCAAGTGGAACTTCACAGACTGCTCTCGTCACCAATGTGAAGGAGCTCAGGGCAATCAGACTTGCCTACCAGATACTCCACTCTCAGATGCAGGCCCACTGTGTGGTGATGTGCATACACAACATGACCACAATGTTCTACATAAACAGGCAGAGTGGAGCAAGATCATCACTTCCATGCCAAGAAGCCTAGAAGCTTTGGGCATTCCACTTAGAGCACTCGATCCATTTAGAAGTTCAGTACCTTTCAGGTCTGCAAAACACACTAGCAGATTCTCTCTGCAGGACATTCATGGTACACAAATAGTCTGTCAGAACGGATGTAAGCCGCTTAATCTTCTGGAGGCTGGGGAAACTAGAACTGTTTGCCACCAGAAACAACAAGAAGTGCAAGGACTTCTGCTCGTTTCAGTACCACAATCACGGTTGTGTAGCAGACACATTCACGATGTGGCAGGGGGCTGCTGATGTAGACTTTTCCCCTGATATCATTGATCCACATGGTGCTGCTGAAGGGATGAGGCATACCTAGTCCTGGTGGTGCTGGCTTGGCTTGACCTGCCAGTGAATGCACCAATGGCTCTCCTCCTGTACCTGTAACTTCTAACGGAGGACCAGGATGTCTGAGATCCAGACTTCCAGTTTCTCTACCTCATGGCATGGAGGATGAATGGCTTAGAGCTTCAGTGCTGTGCTCAAGTACAGAAGGTTCTGCTAGGTAGGAAGCTTTCCATGAGAGCTGCATACAGGAAGCTCCCACTTTATGATGGCCCAATTTACAGCCCCCCGCACTTATGACCTTTTCCGTAAGTGTGGAAGGGGCCGAAATCCCCTGACTTATATCCTCGGCCCCACATTTGTGATGGCGTATGATGCCTGTCATAAATACAGGCTTGAGTTACGACGCCCCCCAACTTGCGACGCTATCCCCAGAGCTGATCGTATCGCAAGTTGGGGGCAGCCTGTATCTGGTTAAGTGGAAGAAGTTCTTCTGGTGTGCGTAGTGTGATAGAGAAGCAGCAGCACTCAGGGTGAGGAGGGGCAGGTGGGAGCTGATATTGGCAGGGAGTCACAGACCCACCTGTGCCCCCCCCCCCCCCCGGGGGAAGTGAAGGCGGGGTAGGAGCTGGTACTAGAGGGGAGCTGGCAATCAGAGGCGGTAGTGCAGGGGGAAGCAGCATCTGTCCAGGGTGGGCTCAGGCTCTGGCTTCCTGCGGACAGAGGGTGCTCAGGCATTCCATGAAACAGCCTCTGCAGGGAGCTCAGACCCCACATGTACAGGGCCTGCTTGCCACCCCGTACTGCTGTTTCTGTGTCAGAGGCAGCAGCGCAGGGTGGTAGGGGGGAGCCAGTCTGTGCAGGAAGCTGGTTTTTAAACTATCTCTGATAGAGAGGCAGCAGCGTGGAGTGGCAGGGGAGCTCCCCGGGAGTGGAGATGGGAGTGTACTGGCTGCTAGCCCTCTTCCAGGGGCTATAGCATAGTAGTGTAGCTGCTAAAATTTGAGACAATTACCCCACTATTCAATCACATGCCATCTTAACAGGTAAGGTTAAGGAAATTCTGAGCTGGCACAGATTCTGCCACTGCCTGTTGCGAAGGCCCGCTCAGCCAGAGTGTGGCATCCTCCGTGGCATCCCTGGTGTGAGTCCTTATTCAGAACATTGACAGATCTACAGCATGATTGTTGATGCACAAATGCACGACACACTATGCAAGCCAGGGACTGCATTGTGTTCAACACAGCTGTGTTGCAGTTTACACATCCAGTGAACTCCTACCCACCTCTGGTGGTACTGCTTAGGAGTAATCTAATGTGGAATGGACTAAAACAAGCACTTGAAGAAAAGACAATTACCCTTTTTTCCCCATAAATGGCATTCTTTGAGATGGGTTGATCATGCTCATTCTGTGATTTGTTCTCCTTTCCCAGTGTTGATGTTTTGGCAAGCAGGAACTGGGGGATGGGGGAGCTGGCAGTGCTCCTTTTACCATATACATGCCACTCCCAGAGAATGCCTGAGTCAGTCCCCTACTGATATAACTGAAGGAAAAACTGGTTCATGTGGTGAGCACCCACACCAAATATGAAATGGATGTGAGCAACACATTCGCTATGTCTACACTGGCATGATTTTGTGCAAGAACTCTTTTGCAGAAGAGTTCTTGTGTGAAAACTCTTCCAGAAGAGAGCGTCTACACTGGCATGTGCCTTTGCGCAAGAGATGTGCTTTTGCGCAAAAGCATCCTTTCCAGTGCAGACGCTCTCTTGCACAAGAAAGCTCTGGTGGCCATTTTAACCAAAGGGCTTTCTTGCACAAGAAATTCATGTTGCCTGTCTACACTGGCCTCTTGTGCAAGAATAGGTGCGCAATAGGGCTTATTCCTGAGTGGGAGCAACATAGTTCTTGCGCAAGAAGCACTGATTTAATACATTAGAACGTCAGTGGTTTTGCGCAAGAACTCGCGGCCAGTGTAGACTGGCAGCAAGTTTTGGCACAAAAGCGATTGCTTTTGTACAAGATCGTACCAATGTAGACTCAGCCATCTTGAACATCAGTTATGGAAAAAGGTATCTCTTCGTTCAGCAGTAGAGCCTCTGACATTTACAAGTCTCCAAGAGTATTTTCACCAGTCTTTTTTTTTTTTTTTTTCTCTAGGCATATATTCCATAAAGAAACAGGGGCTCAAGGCTAGGTTGCTTTAACTGTGGTTTGGGGAAGAGTGGTTGGTGAGCCAAAGTTGATGAAAGATTGTTCATGAAAGCCCCTTTCCCTGGGGTATGAGGAGAAAGAGAATAAAAATACTTACTTTAAACTATTCTCTCAGCAATTATGAACTAATGATTGTTGTTATGTTTGTTAATTTCATTTTTACAGGTGAAAGATTTAGTCCTGGAGTAGGACAGGTAAATGCTACAGATGAAATCAAGCGAGAAATTATCCATCAGTTGAGCATCAGACCCATGGCCCACAGTGAATTAGTAAAAGCATTACCAGAAGATGTAAGTAATGTGAAAAAATACTGTGGCAAAGTTCTGACTGTGCCCTGTGGGTCCTGCATTTCTGATGGACAGTATTTGTCTCAGAGACTTTCTGTGACCTTCCACACAGCCTCTTCCTTTTCTAGAGGCAAAGGTCATAGCCTTTTGAGCCATACTCTTCATAGGTTAGTAGTCCATCGTTTTGGGTGAAAATCCTTCTGTCGTCTTGGTCTCCTCTTTCAGGGGAAGACTCTGTAATGGCATGGGGGGAAGGTTGGGGGGAATCTGGGCCTGGCCACTAATCTGGGTTCTGGTCCAGGGACCTCAGCGGCAACTAACTGGGTTACTTTCACTCCCAGTCTGGAAGCTTTTTCCCTAGGCCACTTCCCCAAATAATCCGTCCCAGTTGCTTTGGTACCTGAGAAAAGTCAGTCTTTAGCTCTCACACACAGTTCTCCAGCAACACACTTCCTTCTCCTAGTCCTTCCCCCTTCCTTACCTGTAGGGCAACTTTTTAAAGTCGCCTTTTTAAAGTGGCCCCACAGGCTTTAATTGACAGCAGGTGTCTGATTAGCCTGCTTCTTCAGTCAAGCTATTAATTAGCCTCAGGTGTCTGCCTGCCTTGATTAAACTCTGGGAGTTTATTCAGGGAAGAGAAAACTGTTTACCTAAAGCCCTGCATACTTGCCCTCCATTAGAGTATAGCAGACAGCTGTTCTGGATCTGTCACAATATGTACAGAGTAACGTATTAGCCAATATTATGTGTCTGAATCTTCTGAAATGGATGTGTGAAATAACTTAAGCTGGGAATATATTCCTATGTAAGATAAGGGTATGGACAGGTCCAGATAAATGTTACTCAAATAGTTGGAGGATTATTTAGTGGAAATAAGA